AGCGTGGTAGGAGAAGACAGTTCAGAACTATTGCAGAAAAGAAGAAAAGCTTATCTAGAGAAAGCCTGAAAACTGCTACAATGTGTATTGAACTTTGTTGTTTGCATTCAGAAGGGAAGACATGATCTTCCACTTCTATAACTGTGGAGTTAAGTTTGCAAACTCTCCAGAATGGCTGAGTTACCTGCACTTAATGTCTGTGAAAGTTTGCACAGATGTAAAAGATAAAACGTTACTGTTGTATTTTAAGTATGTTAACACAGAGAGAAAGTAGCAAAAGTGTGCTTCCACTGAAATACACATATGTATATATAAAGAATATCTTAATTACTTTTCTTGTCTGTATCCTTGATCTGTGCAGGGACCATATTTGTATGCATAGACAAAACGTGGAATGTAATCAGAAGTAATGGCAATAACAAAGGCATTGGTGATGACAGCCAGAACACCAATTCCTTCCAGAATCCCATACCAGATACCTAGAAACAGGGGAAATGACAACAAAGTCATTAGTTTTTAACAGTCATATTAAGTCATGTAAATTCATACTAGTGATATTGAAGTCATTATTAGTCATATTGTTTTCCTTTCGTATCGCAGAAGAATTATTCAGCCAGAAATGCTAGTCAAGATTAAGTCAGGTCCCCACATTACTCAGCCACCACTGGCTCCACCTGAATGAAGTCCTACAGCTGGGCACACCCTGCTGAGAAGAAATAGCTAAGAAACAAAGGTATAACCATAATCTTTGGTTATGAAAGCCAAATACAAGATTTTGGGAAGAGATTTCTTATTTTCATTCAATTCAGTTTTAAAATAATTTTTAAATTAAATTGACTTTGGATAGCATTTTACACCTAGAGTTCCACGAATCAGAAGACTAAGATACTATTTGGCCTGTTTTCAAAATTCCAACTATTATGATCCTTATTGGAAACGGAAAGCAAATTTGAGGAGTCCTCTTAGCTAAGCAACTGAGCTTTTCTTACCCGACAGGAGAGTTGTCATTGAGATCCATAGGTTATGTTATCAATTTCACTCTTGATGCATGAAATATTTCAAAGGTTAAGCTACACTAAAGGAGGAAACACAAAGAGATGGTACCTGACAGCGACAGTCATTAGGTTGTCTCACCTATATCTGTTGCTCTTGCAGGCATAGGTCTTCGCCACTGAGTGACAAACTTGTACGCATCTAACCTTATCTCTATGATATTGTTAAGCAATGCCAAGAGAGGTGCCAGTGGGAAGGCGGCAACGAAGATGGTGGTAAAGCCAAACTGTAAAACTAGACAGGCATTTCTATGGTTAGAAATTGGAAACGCAAAAGATCTTTCAACGTTCAACATAGTTCCAGTTTCTAAAGAAAACTGACATCTCCCTAAATTTGCTCACCCATTTCTAAATATTCATCCATTAAACCATGGAGGTTCATAGGCTGCAGATTCCAATCTTTTTCCCACTGAGGCAGAGAAATTTTATGCTCCATTAATTGTCCTCCTCTCTTCATTTTGCGTCGTGACCACCAATTCTGTAACAAACTTTATTAGAAAAACAGAGTATTATTGACTGTACTCGCTCTGTAATTTAAAATATTTGCTGGTATTGTTTTGAAGTAAGTGGGCCTATTTTGAATAGCACCTTAATGTTTACTTAGGTATTTTCTGGATATATTTACAATATCATATAAGATACAATTCAAAGAACTTCCAAAAATTCACAAAATTCTGTATTGCGATTTTAATGATGTCTTTAATGTAGCATGTTAGGCATTGTACAAATAAGCTTTTCAGAATATGGAATTTGCTTGCATGGATTTTTTTTGGTAGGATTTACCTGCATGCGTAAAGAAAAAAGAACGGGAAAAGAATCCATGCATAACAAGAGCATTAAAGGAAGTAAATAATGCTTTATTTTCAGTCCTGGAAAAGACAAACCAAGAGGAGCTCAGTAAGAACTCTAGGACACTAGAATAAATGGAATAGTAGAATACATATACTGGTTTGGAACAAATCTAAAGATCTAGATGTTCTATGGGATATTTTTTTCTTGAAGCAGGTGAAAGCATCTGAAAAGGTGTTGCTGAAGCTGCAAATAGTTAAGACTTTTTTATAAAGCTGTTGGACAGAGGTCTTTTCACAAAGAAGTTATAAGCTGGTAATAGTCTCACAAATTAAAGTGTTACACAAATTAAAAATATTATCTAGTGCTGATATAGGTGGCAAATAAAGACTATTGTTTGTTTCTAGATATTACTGAAAGCGACTGAAGATGGGAAATAATTTTCTTATAAGTATTTTTATTAACAGCTAATTTAGTGTTTAGCTCTTGATCTCTCTTGTTACTGAGAAAGCAACTGCTGCCTCAGTTGCAAACAATGGTTTTGTCAAAACAAAACACTGCTTCCCATAAAGGACTATAAGCATGTTCTAAAATAAACTCTAGACAGAGCTAAGATGCTGCTGGGCTGAGAAGACAGGAAGCCTGGTACTTCAAGTAGGTTTCTTCTTTTAGAAATCCATGTCTCACAACAATACACTACACTGCCCCTCATTTGCAGAATGACTGCACATTGTGAGCATAATCTTTTCTGACATATTTTCAAGGTTGAGACTTTGATTAAATTAATGTTTGATGAGCAACCTTTTCCTGAAAACATATTCTTCCAGTTTCAAGAGAACTGTAAGACAGCCCATTACTCTCTTCAGCAGTTGAACAGCTCTGCTTGTACTATGGAAAATGAAATCACAATAAACAATTTAGATGTTTAACATCTATCCATTTAGCTTTATCTTAGAGCAGCAGTTAACGTTTCCCTTGGGAATAAAGTTACAGTACGTGAGATGCAAAAAGCAAAAACATTCTCCAAACATAAAAATATTTTTCCCTCTCACTGAATCACAGTAATATGTAATCACTATTTGTAAAACAAACTTTAACATCTGAACTTACGGATAGCCTAGCTCCATGAAGTTGTTCCACATTTGTTTTAAAACCATAATAACTCCCATTTGCAAACACAGGTCTATCAAGCAACCACTGGGATGACACTAAAATGAAATGGAAAAAGATCAACAGCTAAAATCAGAGAATTGCTTTCATTTTTATTTGTTCAGAGGGTGAACGAAAAATCTTCAAATATGTTCAGTGAAATACATTAACCCCCAGCTGCAGAAATATTAAAAGAGATATTAGTAACAGAAATATTAACACAGACTTTAGTTGAACAACCTTTAGCTAAGTTTATGTGTGGTAGATATATGACAAACGATATAGTCCATTTCACTTAGACCAATACATGCGTATTCATTTCAAAAAAATGAAACAATATTTCACTTGTAATATTCAAAGTCTGAACAGAGACGTGGTAGCTGAATCTCTGGCACCAGTATCTTAACTATACAAATTGCCATATTACATTTTTAGTAATTACAGAAACTTTTTTTAGACCATGGACTACAAAGTTATGGTATTTTACTCTGTGCCTACCAAGGTTCAATAGAAGAAACTTGTTTTTCAGAGATAAGAGAGAATTTCAGCATGCTGGTGATATCCAGGGAGGTGCAATTCTAAAACATTTTCAAGCTAAATTTTGAAAATACTGTTTTTCTTCTAAATCATAGAACCATAGAATAGTTCGGGTTGGAAGGGATCTCCAAGATCATCTAGTCCAACCCCTCTGCAATGAGCAGGGACATTTTCAACTAGATCATGTTGCTCAGAGCCCCGTCCAACCTGATCTTGAATATTTCCAGGGATGGGGCATCTAAAACATTTCTGGGCAACTTGCTCCAGTGATTCACCACCCCCATAAAAAACGTCTTACTCATATTTAATCTAAATCTACCCTCTTTTAGTTTAAACCACTACCCCTTGTGCTATCGCTACAGGTACTACTAGAAAGTCTGCCCCCATCTTTCTGACAAGCCCCCTTGAAGTATCAAAAGGCTGCAATAAGATCTCTCTGGAGCCTTCTCTTCTCCAGGCTGAACAACCCCAACTCTCTCAGTCTGTCTTCACAGGAGAGGTGTTCCAGCCCTCTGATCATTTTTGTGGCTCTCCTCTGGACCCACTCCATCAGGTTCAGGTCTTTCCTGTGCTGGCAGAAACTTAAGAAGTTGATAAAAAAGCTGATGGCATTATATTTATGTCCTCCATCCAAAAATTCCACACACCCAAGAGATTCCAATCATGTAGGACTTAGTAGTGCCTGTGAGGTAAGAGACTATCACTGTTTGCCTTTCCCACAGAGAGAGGCAGAAAGAGCTGCGTGTCTCGGGCAGAGTCAACCAGCACAGCAGAGAACAGAGAAGGAAAAACTGTTTCCTATCCTTTGCTATAAATAGGAGTTCACTCTTCACTGGACTTAGATGGAATAATAAATCTTTCAAACTGGACATAATTCATGTCCTTCAGTCATTTCCTTTTTATTCATGGACATTTCACAGGAACACAAAATAGGATTGCTTACCTCTTCCAGTCTCCATCTGTTAAAAAGCTTGTTGTACTTTCCTGGGCGGCCTGCAAATCTGGAAAACAATATTTCTGTTTCTCAGTGGACATTTCAAGAACACCCTGTATCAGTAGTTATTTCGCAACACTCACTGAGCAAACTCATGAAATATAAACAGATTAAATCGCACAGGCTTAAAACTAGTATCTGTAGGTTACGGAAGTTTCAGAATGCAAACAAGGTCCATCATTTTGCAAGCAATTCTAAGCTTTCATTATGTCCAGAAGAAAAATTCTAGCTTCACAGATTTTAGATGTTAGATATTAGACTGTCTAATCTACTTCTGAGAAGATAAGCCATTGCGATAGACAGGAATTTACTGCAGCACAGGGATCTGCTTGCCTGTGTGAAATATGCACCCGATTGCACCCTCAGACATACAAGCATAAAACCACTTCCAAACTCATTATAACTAAATGCTTTTTACAGGTCTAACAGATTCTTGGATTGAATTGAATTGAATCAAAATACTTCATGACCTCAGTGAAAGTTATAAATGAGAGAGAAAAAACCCCGTGCCTTGTCCTACTAGACACAGGAGACACTAGGATACAAAGAAGTATAGAAACTGTATGGCAAATGCATCACTGGATGTGACAAGCAGATATTACCAATAGTCTTTAATAGAAGGTGGGTTTTTTTTCCCAAACAATCTCAAACTGAAATTATATTATAAAACCTTATAGAAGGTATTCTGAAATGCTCTGTAGGTTCTGCAGGAATCATAAATCTGATCATAACAAAATTGAAGTGAAGATGAAGCAAAGTTAGACCTGTCCAGTATCCCATGCTCTCAGCTAAAGATACAAACAAAAACTGTAGCCAGAATTTCTGCCTCCTACTCTTTTATAAGACCTGCCAGACAATATTTACTATTTATAGAAATGGATCCTGGGAAACCTAACCAAAGGGGAATAAACAAGAAAAAATGAATAAAGCCTATTGGTGCAGGGCTAAATACAGACCCGCATTTAGGAAGTGGCTATGTTTTCAAAGGTTCTGAATTCAGATTTAGTAGGAAAGTCAGGTACATAGACCCACTTAAAAGTAGGCTTTTTCTTGTCTAGTTTCATGAGAAAAGATTTGAAGGGTCCAACACTCACATGCAAATATTAATTTAGCATTATTAATTATCCTCAGAAACTGGCTCACATCAAAATCTTATAGTTCAAACTGCCAGTATATTTTCTTCAAACTTCTGCACAAGTTTCCCTTTACAAGCAGTTAGCAAAGATAACTTACCTGCCAAGAAAAAAGGCAATGTAAAAGATGGAGCTGTTCAAGTTGACAAACTGGAAGAGGAACATTTTCAAGGCAAAACTGTTTTCCCATTCAGATTCTGTTCTAGGGTGTTCTGAGGAAAGACACAACATACATTATATAAACAAGAAGGAAATTGAGTTATGCCCAAATTTGTTCACAGATCAATCAACACTAACAAAAACAACCGATGCTTTCAAGTCATGATGCCCCATTACGTTGCAATTAATTATTTTTTTTTCCCCCCCTCATAGTATTCAGTCTGCAGGTCACAAAACCATTGAACCAGCTCAGACCATGTTGGTTCTATGTGGAAGCAGGAGATACGAGCCCCTTGGTACAGAACAGGTCACAACTCTATGGGAAGATACCTGTTCCATTTCCATGACAAAATTCTGAATTCAGTTTGAATCTTTAATTTTAAGGCTACAGGTATCTCAACTGAAAAAACCCCCACAAAACACAACAGAAAAAAACCCCAAACAAACAAAAAGCAAAAGCACTTGACATCAGCAGAGCAACAGCAAGGGCTGCCAAGGAAAGCAGAAAGAAAAGACAGTCAATAATCAGTTGGTTTCTGACCCAAGCATCTCACCCTTCTAAATACTTCTGCAAGACCACTACTTCATCCTCCAGATTTCCCTATCATAATGCTTTTGAAGTGTTAATCAATTTATAATTCAACAAGCAAAGAATGGAGATTCTTCCTTGTTTATTTACTTTTTTTTTTTTTTAAAGAAATGTAGAAACATGTAGTAGGGCTACAGGTATTCTGTGGGGTTCTGCATCGCCTTGGATGTTTTTCCTTATGGTTAGTAGAACATGATTTATGTCTGACTTAGAACTCGGTGATAATGATTAAAATTATTTTTTTTCAGGTAAAAATTTCAAGTTTCTTTAATGGATGTATCAGACTTGGAATACAGTATATTGATAAAAGTTTTAAAGCATATATATGAGTTGGAAGTCTAAACTGCCTGAATTTTTCAGTTAGAACTTGTATGACAATTAATTTGGTCTAATGATGACTAAATTAGGACACAAATGTACAGAACAGTAGCTTTACATACTGAGGATACCCGTTCCTCAGAAGTTAAGATGCCCTCCTTCTCTTTGATGTAAAACGCCTTAGAAAATGGAGTGAGCTACCTAGCTCAAACACCTGATGATCCATCACGTTTAATTCAAGAAGCCCTTTTAAAAAAAAAATAAATAATTCTTTCATACATTTTGGAAAAAAATCAGCTTGTATACTTAGATGAAATATTTTCTTTTCCATTCCCTGGTGTGTAACAAAATAATATATTTAAAAAGTTAGGTAGGAATACAAATAACCGTGATCTGAAAAAACATTTTAAAGTATTTTAATAATTTGAATAAGTTGGCTGTTCAACTGCTTGTTATCTGAAACACTATGAAGTTTTGAGCATCTTCTTTAATGCATGCTCTTCAGCACTTTAACCAGAAGAGGGAGCTGATAAATTTAAGCAGCGAGCTTGCTTTTCAACTATGACAAGATCAACTGCATGTTCTCACACGAGCTCAAAGAGAGCACATGAGAAGAAATGTTAAAAGATAATATATTCATATAGTAGGAGATCTTCAATGCTGTCTTTGCTTTCTTGTTTTCTATAAGCTAGAAAGCTTTACCTCTATGACTGAATCATGACTAGAGGATAAATTTTTGATGTGACAGAATCAGACCTACACTAAAATTTATGACTTAACATTTTTATCTTCGACAACATAATTTTATCTTAACTCATTTTTCCATACAAAATTCAAATTAAAAAATTGTAAAAAAAAAAAACAAACAAGCATTTTGAAAGAATGGAAAAAAAATAATCTAGTTTAGCATTCTAAGAGAAAGTTTGTTTTGACTTTTCTTCCATTACAACATGACAGTTTTTTCAATTTATAATATAAAACATAAAAAAACCCCAAGTTTAAGAATAAGTTCCCTTTTTTCCTATTATTTCCTTAGTGAAATAATCATATAATTTCTTTCTCTGGTATTTCTCACTTGCCTAGGGGAATGCCAGTATCATACTATGCATAGATGAAGCTTTCAAACCCCTATTTTATGGAAATATAAAGGTATATGCCATAGCTAGCAAGAACCAAACCCCAGGTGAAGACCTACATACCTAAGTCTGTCAGGAGATAGGCAACCTTTTCATATACCTAAAACAGAAGTGAGAGATGATGTTAAGTATAGCGTATCCTGGCTGTTGTGATATCAAATCCAGAATGAAAACAAGCATCAAAAGCATAGGTGTTCTGTGGCCCTACAGCATCAAGGTATTTGGACAGAGAAGGGAGGACGATATCCTAGCAGCATACAAATGTATAGTTTCCTATAAAGATTTAGTTGAACTATTATTATCCTGTTGTCTTTATCCATGTAAATGTATGTATGTATACACATTAAATATACAGTAAAGATAAATCAAGGGCCAATAGACCAAGAGAAGTTCCGACATCAACGATTCTCTCAATGAGCAGTCAGATGCTTGTCCTCTAACTTCAGGAACAGATCTATGTGATTCAAAAGTAGGCAAAAGCCTTTACACAAACAATTTTCCTTTGCCTCCTACTGAAAAATTTCTTAGTATCTGTCTATACATTGATTATCTCCAGTCTTTATTTTAAATGACACTTCACCCAAGGTAGTTACCAACTCTGAAAAATATTCCTTGTGTATTTGCTATTAATAGCAAGTTATTTTCAATAGCTTGTTCACTTGAATGTGCTTTTTATGACTTAGAATTATCATATATAATAACAGAAATAAACACATGACAGTCTGCTTTGAAGAATGCTTTCTTATTGCAGAGAGTGCACAATCTCCTTAACAGAATTAAAAGCCATTGTTTGCTGTGCTTATTCCTTTTTACCTGTTTGTGCCTGCACAGGAATAGAAAAACGATAAATTATATTGCAGTTGAAGGAATAGAGTTTATATCATGTACACTGTGCTACCAGAAAATGATTAAATCTGTGTTGCTACATGACTGGAAAAGTTTAAACTGAAATAATGTATCACAGTGATTCTAGAACTGTGCAACACTGCTATCACAGCTACGTTTTAAATAAGAAAGGGAAGAAATCAAAGGTATCAATTAAAAAAAAACAACAAACCAGAAAGAGAATTCTCAGCCAAGAAAATAACATAGTTCCATTTAGAGAAGAGATGTATGGTAAAAGGTAACGTAAAAAAAACCCAAAAATAAAAACGCAGAAAGCAGTAGTCTGTACCACTGTGACATGGTGATATAAGTAAAGATGTGTAGTGACAAATTATGTAGGCATTAGAGAAAAACATCGACAGACATAGCATGAGAAGAAGAAAAAACTCCTGAAATAGTAGTTTCAGGCACTGATATATGAATAAGAGAGAACATGTATATATCTGATATACAGTAAACTCAGTAACTTTGTAAAAATCACTTTTAAATTAATCCCTCCTTTAAAAGAACAGAGGACTTACAACATTGAGTGACATGATGATCATAAAATTGATACAGACTCCAGTGCCAGACGTTGCAAACTGCCAATATTTCTTGATGAAATACCACTTGAAAGAAGCAAACTGCTCCATGGCTACCAGACGATACACCACAACTGCAAACACTGCAGTGAGGACCAGTGAAATCTACAGGTGTTTACAAATAGAGATATTAGAAACAAAATAAACCATATCTGAAATAATTTCCACTGAATTAATAAATTAACAAGTGTTTTAAAGATTGCCATTTGTTTTGGTGAGCGGGCTTTGAGAGAATGAAAATACCAGATTTCTGAACTAAAACATTTCATTACTGGTCTTTTACAATATAACCATACTACATCATTTGAAAGAAAGAGATCCATAAACAAGCAGTAAGATCAAGACAATCAGTTTTGTCTGTATTTTCTAGATCCACTAATCTTAATGAATTCACTCATAGCTTGCGTTACGATTTACATCAGAGTAAAACTAAAGGCGACAATAATTCCAATATTATTAAACATTACCATGAAGAATATTCCTGAGACAGATACCATCAGTCGACTGAGCTTATCAGGGAAAGGCTGAAAAGGTTCAGGTTTTCCTGTGATAGGATTTACTCTTTCCACTTGGGAATATTTAGCTTCGAACTGAGGGCGCAGTTCTTCCTGGAATGACAGGGTAGATTCCATTTGTTGTACTACTTATTTCACTGAAATATCCAAAAATCAGACATATATGTGCTCTGAAGTAGGAAACTTATATTGATGCAAATTCTTATTTATAATGCTACAACTCAAATATCCAAATAATTTGCTGTTAAGAAAATCCTTGGGAACAGTGCCAGAAACCAATGAAGTACAGAAGCCACGAGAGCCTTCCCCACTAAGTGACGATATTAAAAAGATCATGGGTCATAACACTGACTTAAACACTAGTTTCCCGGCAGAAATGGATAAGAAAACTATAAATTAATGCCAGTAATGACAGTGCCTTTTTTGATATGAAACCATTTATTAAAAGCCACCAGCTTGTATCTACACATCTATGGAAAGCTGTAAAACGAGTAATGGTAAAGTCTCCATTCACTTTTGAATCACCAATATAGTTAAATTACAGCTATAGTCACTAGTGATTTATGAAGTAAAGCAATAAAATAATTTGATTATTGCTGATGATAATAGCAGAATGTTAAAGGGTAAGTTATGCCTCTCAAAAAGATACAAAATCTAATTTATGTCCCTCTGCTTGTCCTGGTCCTGTTTTTAGGCAGGATTTGGACTTTTTGGTGCAAGAAACAACAGAATTTAAAGGCATCTGTGCCAACACCAGTAGAAGCTCCCATCCTCTGTACAGGCAGTATTTGCACTCTACTTTTGATAAATGTAGAATTATATTTAGAATTATAATGCTAGTTGCAGAAGGCAAAGTATCCTTGTATAGTCTCAAGCATACTTGTTTATTCTGCAACTAGTGTTATAAATAAAAATATAATCTGAATGACAAATTCAGATTACTGACATATGATATGTATTGATATTTACACTTAAATCATGCTGATTGCAACACTTACAGGTTTACTTCTATTTTGTCTTACCTCTTCATCTTCCCAGTCTATGAGGTCCCAGTCATAGGTTAATACAGCTCTCCGTCTTTTCCAAAACTCTAGAAACACTGTAGCTGTGGAAATAATCAACTGCATTTTAATTATGCAAAAGAAACAAAAAAGGCCATCCAGATCTCAAGAAAATCAGCTATAGGTAATATGACTGTCATTAGCCACTTTCTGGCTCTTTTCCCCAAAGGATCTGAAAAATATAAGCAACTTCAGGATAATCACTTAAAATTAGAGCACTATTTTGCAATGTTTATCTAAGAATCTTTTTTTTTTTTTTCTGTTTGCTTTATCCGTACAGAGACAGGTACCTGTCAATATGAGACACTGCCATCCCTTTCAGAGCATCATTTTGATTTCAGTTTTATTCAAAACATATATGGTTTAAAATCTTTCCTTGAAGAAACAAGGGTATGCATACACAATGATATCTATTAATAAAGAGCTAAACTATGATCTCACTTTATTCAGTTCAAATCAAGAGAACCTCACTTCTTTCCCAGCTATACCAGCTTTATACTGGAGCAACTTCACTACTAAAATATTTCTTCAAACAATTATTTCTAATCTATATGTGAGATCATAATCATAATCAGACTCTCCATGTACTAAAGTGTTTTTAGCAGGCCCTATAAAAATAACTACAATCAATGAATAACTCCAAGTTTGCCAAACACTGTAGTTTGCCACTTAGGGTGAGACATCTTGTTTTTGTGGGATTCCTGACAAAACATGGGATTGTCCAATTGTTTCCTGGAAAACAGTGATTTCAAACAAGGAGTGAGAAAATTTGCTTCCTTCTGGCAAACCAACTACTCAGAAGGAGGATTTCTAACTCAAACTGAATAGGATGGTCTCACATTCTTACCTTTAGAAAAAGGTAGGAAATTTATGTTTAACATTTTATTGAGTTTATATATGTATTATATAGCTATAATTTTACATATACACATACACACACACACAATTTATCCATATACTATATTAAAAGCACAATGACTCGAAGTTCACAATACTACTATCCATAAATAATGGATAGCTGAATGAAAGGAACTTGTCCCTGAGTATTATTTGTGGGTAGTATGTTCTTTTATTCTTCCAAGCATGGATCTTGTCTTCACCACAGATTCCATTTAAGTTTCAGATGCTCCTAACAAGAACAGCACACAGCTCTCCTATTTAAGCAGCAGTGGGGTTTACACCTGAGTAACCCGAGGGTGAAACAACCTTTTCTCACTGTCATTGGAAGTGCTATCACAACCAGTGCACCGTGAGACACGGCAACGTTACATGAGACACCACCTTGCAAGAGAAATCCCTGTGTGACATGCGAGGACTCAGGAACAGTCTAAGCCTGTGCTATATACAAAACAAAAAATACTTTTCTTATGTGACCAAATAGGCAGGAGAAACACATGATGTTCTGCAAAACATGGTGTTCGGTGTCCCTCTGCCTGTCAGGATGCTCTAGGAAGCACACTCAATATATTCACTAGCCCTGTGGCAAAAGTGGTAAGTTTGTAATTGCACAAATTAAATAATTCACTTAGTTACACTTAAAGGTAAGGGAAATTAAGGCAGTGGCAAAGGTATCAGGAATAAAATAATGAATTTTATATCCCATTGACTTAAAATATCTGAGTCAGAGAAACTGAAACAAAGCAACTGAATTGGTGGCTTTTTTTCTCCCCATGACGTTACTGAAGAAAAGAATGAGGAAGGGTGGACTATTGAAGTACATGCAACTGTTTTGGACTGGGAAGTATTTTAGCTTGTGTAAAGATCCATTGAAGTTTTGGAAATAAAATGAGGCAGTTGTGGTCTAGAAGTAATACTAGACTGTGGACAAATGGTGTCGTCAGTTGGATAAACACTAATCTTATAATGCTATTTATTTCATTCTATCTATTCTGTAAGATTTGAGATAACTTGCTTATTCTTTAAATTAAGATCTGTCTCTGAGTTTTCAGGTTCTGATATAGCAAGCATAATAAGCTCTAGTATAATATGAGCAATAATAATACATGATGTCTTTCATCTCATGTAGGTACATGATGCATTTGATAATGCAACGATAAAGAAAATCATTCACCTAGATGAAGCAGGTGAGGCCCAATCACTAACAATACCTGCCAGTGAAAGCACGTTTTCCAGGCTCACCTGAGCTCTTAAAAAATGCTGCAATACTATCTTTCACACAGTAGAATAGAATTCATGGTAATTTTGCTGTGCTACAGGGCTACTGAGAAAATAGTGTCAAAGGCCAGAAGTATATTTAAAAAAAAAGCTTGTTGGAAAAAAAAATAATTCACAAAACTTCTCTTGTGGTGTAAACTTCTAGTTCAATAGACAGTGAAAAAACATCAAAATTTTGAAATCCAAGTGTTTGTCCAGTTCTACAGGAAGCCTGGATCCTTCCTGGCTTGCCTTTATTTTACTCTATCACAATGCCAACGCTACCCATCTCTCATTGCTCTCTGTGCAATCATGCCCCTCCAGTCCTGGTTGCTAGGCACTTCTTACTGACTCATCTCTTACCCTGATCTCCCAGCTCTGAAAATCCCAAGCCTTGACTTTTACCAATTACTTCTGCAGAAAAACGAGACATACAATAGATGACTAATGCAACCATTTGAACATCAAGATGAGAACATTCATGTTCTAATATTGCTATGACCTGGCAGAGTTTCCTTCTGCCTAATCCTGCCGCTTGAGAGTTCGGATAGTTGACAGTTTAGAGGGTCACACACAAGCCTGCAGTTTCCTACAGAAAACATTATCTGGTGCAACCTTTACTTTTTGCTGGGCAAGTTGCTTCCCATTTTATAGCTCTAATTGCCATTCAGAATTTTAAATCCCATAATATATAGTGTACTCCCTCTTTTTGCCCAGTATTTTGGTAAAAAACTCACTCATTTAGGGATTTGTTATTTAGTGCTTTACAATACAGTCTGCAGTTCTCCCCATTGTACACTTCCAAAAGTTTTTTTCAATTCTTATTCAAGTTACCTTATGTTTACTGCCCTCGCACTGCTGGTACTGACACTGATGAAGAACTAAAATCTCCAAGCTTGTGCTTGACACAGTTCTTAATCTTTCAGAAGACAAGTAAGGTGATGTTTGATGGTTAAGATAGACAGGAAAGATTGATTGTGTTGATAAAATCTTAAGCAAAACAAGTGTTTGACATTGTCAAGAACAAAAAATGATGTTCAATGCTATGGAAGGAAAAAAGAGAGCAGAGAAAGAAACCTAAACAAAACCAAGAACCCAGAGAGCCCAAGTCTATTATGTGAGCACATCTCTTCTGAATGTCTTGTAAGAGTTGCTGTGTCAAAATGAATGGTGTGCTTATTCCCTAAAAAATTATCACAAAGAGGATTTTCAGTAAGGAGTTAGGGGACTGTCTCCACTGCCTCTCCAGAGAGTTTGGCCATGGTCAGCTAGGCCCCTTCTGAATACTCCACACAATTACTTCTTTGGTTTTATTCAGTCAGACTCCTTTACAGCAAAGTTATGCAATAAAAACAGTCCTACAGATTTGGTACCACACCTACTATTGAGACACACTCTTCAGAATTGAAACTGCCACTTCATAAATACAGGCTATAGCTGACCGACGGCTTAATCGCATAGAATCATAGAATGGTTTGGGCTGGAAAGGACCTTAAAGATCATCCAGTTCCAACCCCCTGCCATGGGCAGAGATACTTTCACTAGATCAGGTTGCTTAAAGTTCCATCCAATCTGGCCTTGAACACCTCCAGGGATGACCACATCTCCCACTCCTGGAATACTCTGAACCACCTTGCTTCCATACAGCCACAGCTCCGAATCTGTTCACACCTGGACTTGCTGCTGGAGATTTTGCCTTCCAGGAACAGCAGGCCACCACTCAGCACCAGCATCCCAGCACCACACTGCAGGTGTACAACACTCAGCCAAGAACTGAGTCACAAATAGAGCATCTTCCATTAGGTGTTAAGTCACTCAGGTAGACAGTATACTGTTGACCCTAAAATATCATTTGTCATTTGGTCAATGCTGCATAGGATCCAAATTTGGACACAAATTTGTGGTGCTTGTTTACATGTCTCATGGTCAATCTGTTACATGCATATCCACCCAGACACAGCAATAAGTATGAGTTGGGAGCTTGTTGCTACACACTGCAGAGAATGCTAGATTCCAAAGAAAACCAAACCCACAGTATCAGACTCTGTCCTCCCTCCTCTCGCAGACCACTCCACCTCATGCCACAAAAATAATACACTGCCCCAAAAGGGATATTAGAAAGGGTAGAAATTGATTCATTTCACAGAAAACATTCCACTTGTCCACTGCAGTATTTTCAAGAAAACACCACTAGCTGCTCCCATATAAACACCTCCTGTATATACCATATCCTCAACAGTTATCTCAAGGATAAGTTATGAAATAGTATTTGCACTTGATTCCTTAAAAATCTGAAGTGGAAACAGATAACAATATCATGGCATTCCACTCAAAGTCACGCAATACTGAAACATTTCTGAGTCACTCTTCACCACATACCAGCCTAGAATAAATATACATAAAGAATTAAAGAATTAAAAAAATCAGCATATTAAGTTACAAATGATATGTCTGACTTCCTCATTCTTACTTTAATCCAGTATTATTTATATAAAACCTAAAGTGAGGAGCAAGAGTTGTAACATTCAGGTCCCTCGCTGGTTAGGTATTCCAAAGAAAAAAATCATGACAACTGATAAATTCAGAAAATTCGGATTCAGATCGTTATCTTAAATTATTGCAACTGTGAACACATTTGGAGATAAGATCGGACCCATTTCTAGCAGCATGTTTTTCTTAACAGAACTCATTTTGCTGCTTTATTTTGCAGAAGACATACTTTTCCAGTTTTCATCTCACAAAGTGTACCATAGGAAACTCTGTGGTAATACAAAACTATCTTTGGTTAAATTAACAGTTGCACAGTAGAGAGAACAATAGTTTCTATAGTTTACAGAAAACAGTCCCTTCTGAAATATCAGTTCAAAGACGTTCAAAGGATTAAGCAACA